TATAGGAAACCTGGGTGTTTCATATGTAAATCGTGTCTTCATAAAAGAACGTCCAAGGTTGAACCCATCTGTGTTTTCTTTCCGTTTTAGAGAAATATAATACACTCAGATTTAGAAAGTGAGTGCTTCAGCTGTTTGTTTGGCTACCCAGGTCTTCAGCTAAACTTCTGGTCTGTAGCGCAAGTGTTTTTAGAAGCCAGATAAGCTTCAATATATGCAATAATAATACCTAGTATAATGCTTTAGTTTAATTGTGCAGACTTACCTACTCTAGTAGTCATACATTACTGCTAATTATATTAACTGTTAAGTCTGTTGCTTCAATTCCATTCTTACTTAAGTAACTAGTTGAATACAAATTTTGGTTTGGTTCATTTCTCTGAATTTCCTACATGGAAGTGATTTATTTTGGTCTGAATTGAACAGTTTGGCAGCTGAAATGTTTAATCAGCTCTTTTGTGCCTAAAATGTTTCAAAATAGTTAGAAGGACAGATCTTTTGAAAATTATTTTCCAGTTGAACTTTTACTACGTGGCGTCATATAGAAATTTATGCCAATTTAATGCACATATAGTGATGATGCTTAAAGAGAATATTGTTTCTAGTTCAGTCTTTGATTAGTAGTTACAGTATAAAGTATTTAATGGTAATGTAGGTGGTATACAGTTTAATGTTGTCATAACCCCCTTTGTGTTTATAACGGGAAGGAATGAAAATAATTACTAATGAAAATTGAATAATTTCCAGGCCTTGAACCTAGCTGGTTACCTTCAGATGAAATGTTGTATATTGTGTACATGATAACATGCAATAAAATCTTTAAATTTCAATTTTGAAATCGGTACGTACAGCATTTATTACAGTTTTCCTATAATCTGTATAGCAAAACCGGTAAATAAAGATTTGAAAGAAAAGCAGTAGCCAATTAATTTGTTGGATTAAAGACATCAATATAAAAGTTAGAGGTTGCCCTCTTAAAATTCAGCATTTAATACTTTCTATTGGAAATTTTTCCTTCTCAGAAATGAAGTCCATATTCTAAACTTTATGGTACTTTAACTATAGCAGTGCAAATGCTAGAACTGCTGCCTCCTAGTGCTTTGATATGAACAATTTTGAAGGAACTAAAGACATTGCCTCATAGGCTTACTGTCAGGTAACTTGCTTTATAGTATAGGATGTATTTTTTAGGTTAAATAATTATTTTAGCTTAAACATATTGAAAGGAGCACTTGGAATCTTATATTAGTGTCTTATAAAACTAACTTATTTTTTCACTGTTTACACTGTTGCTACTACTTTTCTTGGTTTTGAAGAAGGGAAATTTATGGTTAACTTTATTGAGATATGAGGTACTCAACTTCTCAAATTCTGCAGTGCTGTTAACACTGTAGGGTAATCTGCTACATAAAGCTTTTTCAGAGTAAAATTCAGAGTCTAAAATTAAAAATAAAAATTTGAGGTTAAATTTAAGTTTAAGTACACCCTTTGCATATTTGAACTCATACAAAAGGTGGTTAAGTAATTTAATCTATGTTATTTTTCCCCATTTGTCACACTGACTTTCTCTTCTCTCTTTTCACTTACCCATTTTTATTGAGGCTATAACTAATATTTGTTTCTAATATGCTTTTTGTGTGTTCTAGAAATATTGATTGTTAGGCATTCTTTGCAATCAGTCTCATGCCAAATGTAACATAAAGAATGTTGTATTTATGGCAAGTGTCTTTCATTGGGTTCTATGGTTTGCTGCCTGTTCATACAGTTGCATGAACACTTTTCATTTCTGAAACCAGTCCCTTAAAACCACATTCTCTGTATCCTGGGGGGGAAGCAGCATCTCATCTCTTTGCCAAAACTAGTGACACCAAGGAAGAAACAGTGTAAATTTATTCTAGATTGCCAGCAAGCTTTTACTACAGTTGCTTTACTGTGGAATATTGAGATAGAAAAAAGTGTGTGAATGCTAGGAGTGTATTTTAAACTTGTCTGAATGACTTGCACCTGTCTATTATTTCCTTTAAATGCTGCATGTTTATCATACTAGTAATACTTGGTCAGATTTTCTCTTTCAGAAGGTATGAGGATGTTAAAGAATTTATCTATTGAAAGTATAGTAGAGGAGAACCTATCAGTTACTGCAAATAGAACATTGTTTTCCTTTAGAAACTTTTTAAAGGACTTGTGTAAGTGTAGCCTATTAAATTGTATTCAGTTTGCTAGTATTACAAATGTTACAGTAGTACTTCTTTTTCAGTTCCTTTGATACAGTCCATCAGACAGCCATCTGTGAATAAGGGTTGGAGAATTAGGTCCTAGGTTTTCCAAGTGATTTAGGCTTGAATATCACAGTTCAGGCTGGAATCTTGTTTCTCCCAAAACTCATATGGTTTTTCTGACAGGCAGCTTTGCTGGTTGATAGAACCTGTCAGATCACTTGATGTCAATCAGAGGTTTAATTTTCTGTTGATTTGTCATTTAAGTAGCAAAGGCAATTGGGTTATTAGTTAAGCTGATCATTGTATGCCAGTCCTTGCTTGTAGAGTGAGTGAGTGAGTGAGTGTAAGCAAGTGATCCATTGCTATATATCTGCCAGAAATATAAACATCCACAATTTGAATTTCCTTCAGTATGATAGATTTAATGAGAACCTAAATGAGTGTACACCCTTCAGTTAAATGAACGTTTGTTTATATTACTTTTTAAATGCAAATGATGAAACCTTTTGTGATTTACTGCTTAATAGTCCTTTTAAAGAATGACAGCTCAGATGTGTTTGTATTTTTTCATTCGATACGTAGTTTCTAAAAGAGGCTATTTTACTAGAAATCTCTAAGTAAAAAAACAGAATGCTACTCATCATTAATACATCATAATTTGATGCCATCTTTATAAAATTTAAAATGAAAATGCTTCCATACAACTAGTTATTTTCATACACTAATAGTAATGGCAGCTGGTAGACTGTCCAGTGGTGTAAACGTGATACCTGAGTGCCCTGGGAGCAGCAGCATATTGGCAGGGCAGTGTTGCTGGCTCCGCTTTGTGGTGGCCAGTCCGGGAGTGCATCTGCTTTTATTTTTTTGCTGGTTCCCTGGTCACCCTTCCTTGTTACATTACCGAGACTGTCAACAATCAAATTGTATTCTTTATTTTATTGCTCGTGCAAATACTGAAATTGCTACCCTTAAAAGTTTATGGTAGGGTTATCTAGCCATTAAATTATGTAGCGAACAGTAGGTATAACTTGGTAATTATAGTGGCGCTCTTGACTAGAAAAATAATATTAGTCTAAGGACTTTATACTTGTATTAGTTAAGTTTTCATATAAGATTATTGTACCTAAAAAATGATTTTTTTTCTAGTTTCTTAACCCTGTCTTTCTTTATATAGACAGTTGTACTGTTCTCTATGTACTCTTGGTAATCTTCACTTTATCTGGGCAGGCCTCTTATAAAAAGGATGAAAATCTCTTAACAATTTTAAAACTTAATCTTTTAAAGGATGGTATACAAAGTTGTACTTCTAAACAAAACAAATAGCAGCTTTAGTGGCTCTTTGTTTAAGCTTTTCATTGCTAATGTCATTTAGGGCAGTATTTCTCAACGTATGGGCCACAAGAATATATGAAAGGGTCACAAAGTTTAAAAATGGATTTTCCTTTAAAGGGGAAAAACATTAGAAACTCTGGCTTTTCATTTGCAGGTTGGTAGAGTTCCAGCCTGTGATAGGCTGCTTGGGGCTCCCAATGCCCCCATCTCCCTGTGCCGTGCCCCCCCCCTCCCCCCACGTACACACTGGTGGCTGGGGGCAGCGGGCAGCAAGTTAGGACTGGCCGTTGATGTTTCCAAATGGGTCCTGATACAAAAAAATATTGAGAACTGCTGATATATGGTACAATCTGAATTTGATGGTGGAGACAAAATTAAGGTCAAACTTCCATTCTGAAAGCTGCTTCCTCTTCATGGTGCCTGACTCGAGACTTGTATTCAGTTCACTTTTATTAATCTTTTGGTCCGAGTTAAACATTTCAGTTTGCTTATGTTGTTTGAGCAAGTTTAGCATAGTCTAAAAAAACCCTGATAAGCTGAAACTTAACACTATGCCTGTGCTGTGATGCTTTCCTTGTGTCACAGAATGTACTTGTTTCTAAGACAGTTACGTTTTCGTTAATATTTGATAAAATTTGACAAAATAGTAGTCCCCTTCTTGTCGTGATTTCTGTTGAAAGGTGTGATTGCAGCCTACACTAAAGACTGGAAGTAAATTCTGACTCTGCATTATCTTATCTAGTTGATAATTTCATCAAATAGCCCCGGAAACTTGGTGTGCCAATTGTTGGAAGCAATGGGCCATGAAATAATTGTAACTGCAGCTTGCAAAAAGCAAGCTATTGTTTTCAATAAAGTTGAGTTGAAATCAGCTTTCCATGTTGCATTGCAGCGGAAAACTAATTAATTACCATGTGACAAGAGATGTCATTTTTTTCATTCCTGTCAAGAAAAGTTGCTAACGATATTCAGTCATAAGAAGAAGAAATGCCCACTACTATTGACTGAAGTCTAACTTAATCAAGTAAATGACTTGGTCTGATTAACTGCATGGCAGATTTCCACTGACTTCAAACAGTAAGCAATGCATAAGGTTCAACATCTTGCAGAATTGCAGTGTTTCTGAAACTACGTATCTTACTCACTGATATCTTAGTTGCACCTTCTGGTAAAACGAGGGTTTTAATCATGACTTCTTAATAAAATTAATCTTTATTAGTGGATGGAATCAAATAGAAAATGGTAAGGTATGAATACCATGAATAATTTTCTGCTGAAATCTGGTCTTGGGTCTACATTTACTTAGATTTTGGCATTGCTCAAATTCCACATCAAAGTTTTCCTGCCTAAAGCTTTGTGTATCCCTTTACATGCAGTCAGCAATTGAAGAATATACAGGCTCGAGTTGACCAGAACAGCAGCACTTCTTCCTACAATTCTTCCTGACACTTTTTCTGTAGCTATATGGCCAGGTAAAATTATATTATAAATGGAATATAGACAATGGGATAGGTTGACCAGCTGGGGTAAAGCTGCTCTGTTTTTTGTAAGAATCAGCAGGTATTAAAATCTTTCTGAGGGAAAATATACCTTGAACTAGACAAAAGAGAAGATTTTTGGGATCTAACACTAATTTATACAACTAGGCAGGAGGTAAATTAGGTCAGAATGAGGAAGCACAATTGATAGCATGCAAGTTTGGTTACATTAGGATATAACTGCACTATGAAAGCATTTGACATTCTTTAAACTTTCATGTTCTAAATGTACCTTCTGATGTATATTTTATCTGTCTTTGTTATTCTTTATCACCAGGCAGGTACTGAATTCTAACATGTTGTATTCCATGGGACTCATCCGCTGTTCTCTACCTCCTTCCTCCCCAGTGCAACCGTGGGTTTTCCCTAGTTTTTATTCTAGATGAGTGAATTTGAACACCACTGCAAAAATGAGGCCCAAGCATTTTTTTGGTTTTGATGTCACTTCTTTTGAGGTATCAATTGTAAAACAAAGTAATGTGAGCGTACTAGATTAAATCAGATCTTTTTCTGTAGAAAATACTTTAAAAAAGTGTTTCAGTGAATCAGTGACATCTGAGCTTAGCTGAATCAAGGTAGTTCTTATTGATTTTTTTTTTGTTTGTTTAATAAGGAAATAAAGAAATCTCAACCTCCTCCCCCCCCCCCCCCCCCAAAAAAAAAATTCCTCTGGTTACACTAGTGGCCATAGCTGCTTGTCCCCTCTTTTTCCCCGTTGCTACATTAATTGTGGGGGTAGGAGAGAGGGTGAATAGCTGCAATTCTCACTCCCTGGGCCCTGGAGCCATGCAGAAGCATGGGCTTTGGCCAGAGCCTGTACCAATCAGCTGGTGAGTTCAGAGAGCTCACAGCAAATGGGAGGCTCCAGGAGGAGTTCTGCTGACATGAGAGTGAGTTCAGGGAGCTAGCTGTGCTTGTGCAACACAAGCCAAAGGTAGGTGTGGCTGCATCATCCGTAACTATATCCTGGCTCTGCCCACATTGTAGCTCATTAGGAAATTACAGAGCAAAAGATGTAAATACATTAAATCTACCAATGCAAGTATCCTATATATGTGCATATTTCATCTTTGTAGTTCCCCATTGGATATTTTCTCAGGTGGCTACACTGTGAAACAAACCCAAATTATTAATAATGGAATGAAAGATGTTAGGTCAATTGAGTATTGTTAATTTCCTTTTTTGTTTTCAGAGATTAAATATTTTAATTTGATGCTGAACTTTTAAATTTAGGCAAACCAACAATTTTAAAAAATGTATGTAGACAGAAGCATAAACCTAGTGACTTGCTGAAGCATTTAACATTAAATATAATTGTGGCTTTTATTCAAAAAGCTAAACTGAAATATGCCACCTGTGCAGAACTCTTTCTCTGAGATATATACGAGTTGGGGGTTTCTTATGTGAATGATAGGCCCTTGCATCACATTGGAGAAGCTAATGTCTGAATGGATGTGGTGGCTGCCTCAGAATGATGCTGCTGTTAGCAGTGAAAAATGTCTTCCTTACAATTCTTGTGCAGTAGGCCATGGAGTGCAGCACATTTTTATAATAAAGGTGATGAATTTAATCGCAAACTGGCAGCCAAATGGAAATTGCAGACCTTGATACTGGGAGAAAATTGCCTATAAAGCAACTCCTGAGAGAGAAGGCTTTAAATTTATCCACCCATTTCGACATTGAGGAGAACATAGGAATTGCAGGGTATTTTGCTTGGCCTGCTTAGTTCAGATGGATGACACTTCAGTCTTCCTTTATTTAAGAAGTAGATACAGTTTGTTAAAAGAATGACCTTGTTGCCTAAACTTTACATGGTAAGACTTTTAGAAAATGTATTCTTCTGTTAACCTGAAATATTTGTACTTTATTCTGTATATTATGATGTAATATGCATAATGAACTGAAATGTTTATTATTTCACACAGCTTTTCCCCCTTTTGTATGGGTAGCTCTGATACTGTTTGAGAAGGGATGCATTTAAAAAAAAAACCTTGGAGGTTGCAGAATTATATTCATGTGATGAATAATCCTGTAAAATGATTTAGCTGGTTTCGAGTCATACTGCTGGTACTGGGGGTGGGGCAGGGGGAAATAGGAATGCTTTTTCTGGAAAAGTGTAACAAATGGAATGTGGAATAGAAGTATTGGTAATAATATGACTTAACTATATCATAGCTTATAAAATTACATTGATTTAAAGTAAATGGTATTAATAGTCCTAAATGTTAGGTATTTCTGTTAGGGGAGCCACTAGAAACTGCAAATATGAATAAGGTCTGTATTGTAGTAAGCAGTATATAAACAAGTAATAAGAACTGTTCTCCTCCTAGAAAACTTATTATAATGATAGTGTAGTATTGGAACCTTTGCAGGTATGTTAGGTAATGAAAAATACATTATTCGTAGGTAATTCTATGTGCCTTACTGCTGTAATATTTGAGAAAAATCTGTAGCTTTATGGTGTGAGAATTAATCATTATCAAAACACAATAAGAGTGAATAAGCTGCATTGATTTCCTTACCTTTTGTACCAAATATTTCTTTGAAAATAAGAGTAGCTCCATGAAACTTTAAACTGGTCTTGGATGTTCTCTCAAAAATTTCTATTTGAGTCCTTTTCTTCACATAATCTTAATGTCTTTTTCCTCAGGTTGAAATGTTAGTAGTTCTGGTGGGTTTCATCTTGAAACTTGAAACCGTCAGAGGGCTCCTAATGCTTGCTTTGACATTTTGATACAATGTTTTGAACTGATCTAGCGTGTATGTCCCATGTCAACAGTTCCTGATCATAAGACGTGGTCCTGTCATCTTTCTATGCAAACTTACAGCATCCTAACAAAATGCAGTGGTGATTTGTTTTAAACATCTAACAATATTCAAGGCGATTGTTGCCATTTTTGTTTTATCCAGAAGAAACAAAGGATCAAAGTTTACTTTTTAAAACAGTTTCTAAAAATTCTGCATAAAGAGATCCTGCATAGCAGAAAAGACTGTTTAAATGTACCTGGTTCCCTGTATCAGTGCATTATCTGTTTCTAGATAAGGAAATTCTTTGGGTCAAAAGGAAATGTATACAAAGTAACAATATAAAAAATATCATTGAGTTGCTATATAATCCCCACGCTGCCTGCAGCATCTGGTGCTGTATTCTGTAGTACCCTATCAAGTATACACAAATTTTGGATGTTGTAAATAGATTCATTTTTGAGACGCTGGAATGTTTATCAGTTTGAGCAAAAATAATTTACTTACCTGACTTCTCCAGATAGCCACATCCACTATTCTGTCCTTCTGGATTTAGGAGGAGAGCTTAATTTTCAGCTAGTCTTCAGTCTTCTGTAAAGGATATTTCAATACAAGTAACAGTTTCATTTTTTTTTTTTTTTTTTTACTTCCTGTCAGATTTCAGCTTTGTAATCCTTCATATTGGTGTTTTTTCCAGAAGGGAGCAAACCCTTCCCTATTTGTGATGGGGGTTAGTCCTATCTTTTGAAATAATGAAGAAAAATATAAGACAGAACACTGAATGCATTATTCAGAAGAATTTTGTTCAGAACATTTCTTTCCAAATATTTTCTGTGATTTCAAATGCTGTTATCTAATGTGGTACATTCTCTGTTATCAAGATCCCTTTGCTATCCAAACAACAACATTTTAAAACTAATTGGTAACTGTTGGGAGTGTGTGACAAACTCTTTTTCTCTTAAGCTATATTTCATGAGGCACTGCATCTTTTACTCTTGTGGTTTGGTACACTAACTTTTAACTATTGCACTTATCCAAAAGAAGTCAGCTGTTGAAATGGCGTTTCACCAGGTGCTTTCCAGAAGGGTTTGGATAATAAAGGATAGACTGTAGACAGAACTGTGTTATCTGTACTTGTCTGTCTGTTGGTTCATACGCTTCTCAGAGGTGTTCATAAAGGGAGTCACTTTGTGTTATCATTTAGTTAAAGAATTAGAAAGCATAATTCTGAAACAAGAAATATAATATGGAACTGCATGGTTTAAAACTAACAACCTATTTATACTACAGTGTACTTTTAAGTACATAGCCTAGGGACTAAAAAAAAGACTTTTTGAACAGTGTTCACTAACTACAGGAACAACCTGCATTAAAGTTTTTGCACCTCCTAAAGGCTTATTACCTTATTTTGGGGGGTGTTGTATTCTTTAATAGCAGTCTGAAAGTTGAATCAACCTTCTCAGTTCAAGATTTCTTTAGAAGCTTTTGTATTAAGAACTTCTAGTCAGTTTCACCAATTACGAAGTTAAATAGAATACACTTAGGCTACAAAGCAGGTAGTAGAACTGAGAGTTCCAGCACATGTTAATCCATTTATGTGAGATGAGGAAAAAATGTTTGTTACCATATAAACAGCAAGTAGTAAACTAGTGTGTTTTTTAGGTAGGTAAACTGCATTTATCTAGTGTGCATGTAAGTGAAGTGTGCTGTTGTGGGCGGTGGGGGGAGGAACTTTCTAAAGTACAACTATCAGTTGTTAAAAACAGGATCTGATGCATTTGCCACTATTTAAGAACCTTATTATTACAGAATCTTTGAGAGGGGAAAGAGACTTCTTTTTAATCTTTAACTTCTTGGGTCTATTTTTCTGTCTGCTTCTTGAAAACTTGAAGGTGGGTTAAGTTATTACAGTAATGTGATAATCCTTTTAAAGAAAAGCTTCTGAGATGGCAGCAGTATCTCTATGCATTTCAAATTTATACAAGACATATTTTGTATTTTCATCTTAATTTGACTCACTAAGCTTTAGGGGACTAAGTTTTGCTGTGATCAGTCTCTGGCTGAAACTGATCCGTCCATTTTTAATGTATTGTAAACTGTGGAAGACAAATATTGATTCTTTAATTATAGATCTAAGTACTTTTCACCCCCAATTGAGAATCAATCCTCTCTGAGTGGAAATAATTTCA